AGGTGTGAGGTCAGGCTGCTGCTGGCTGTACAACTTTGTACAGAACTGAGGACTTGCACGAGCAAGGCTTCTCAGAAATTGGAGCGACAACATGAAAGCATCTAATGCACCTAAATTGTGCCAATCCAAACTGCACCATGCGGGACGAAGGTTCGCTGCTTGGTAGGAACTACTGGCTTAGATGCATATCGTCAGTGATCTCTGGCGTTCGGTCACAGAGCCAGCACCTTGCCAGCGTAGAACTCCATGTTATCAGATTGATCCAAGATCGATGTGTGTTTGTCTACCTCTTGCTGACTGCGCGCGTGTTCATTGACAGCCTGATCAGCATGCCAATCCGCCGCTTGGTTGCACATGATATCTCGGCCCTTCCCCTTCAGCCCTATGGGACGTTGTATAGCGCAACATCGACCAATAATGATTGGGGATCTGGGTAGAGACCGTCCTCCAGTAGCGGCTAAATTCTGAGGAACCCCTCAATCCTTTTGCAGGCGGTGGCTCTAGCAAGCAGGGTAATCTAGTCACCACTGCGTCTGCCTGGGACCCTAGAATCGATAGAGCTGCAAACGCAGCATTGACTGCATTCTTCGGCAACCAAGCTGGTACCGGTGTTCGGAAGCATCCAATTAATTCCCCTGCATATACACGTCGTCCAGAACCAGGGCCTCCTCTTGCTATCCATTTGCGGGAGAAGTTCTTGACACTGCCGTCTATATAATCTGGCACGTCTGCATTCGCCCTCCTCCCCCCCCCTGTCCCCCTCCCCAGCTCCTCGCCCTCTTGGCTCTCCCCGCCCCCCTCCCCACCCCGCGCCCCTCCCCCGGCCCCTCGCCCTCTTGGCGCTCCTCGCCCTCCCTCCCCCCCGTCCCCCTCGCCCGGCTCCTCGCCTTCTTGGCTCTCCTTGTTCCCTCCCCCCCTACCGCCCCCCTCGCAATCGTAGCCCCATACCTTCCACCTCGGACACCTCCAGGGTTCTCTTCCAGTCTTGGGAGCGCCCCGTCAACGATCAGTACTGGGTCCTGGCCAAGTACTGGCACTCCTCCACCATGCAGGCCCTGCCCAGGATCCTAGTTCGTTCGGAACTTCAGGACATTATCGCGGTGCACATCTACACTGATGGATCAGGTGGGTCGTCTCGGGGCAAGCCCGCATGGGCCTTCGCTGTCTTCGTTGAGGACACCTGGGCCACTGGGCGCTCATTGGCTTCGAGGTGGACTTGCTGGCATCGGAGGTCTCCCCCAACTTGGTCTCTATGGCTGCAGAGCTTCAAGGGGCTCAGTGGGCACTTGCTTAGCTTCTGCAGTCAAAATATGCTAGTCTTGGGCGCGAAGATCGTCTGTACCTGTACATATACAATTCGGAGGCCCTTCGAGTTGAACGAGGTGGGGCACTCGGGCCCACAGTGGCCGACATGAGGATCGCCCTCGACAGCCTAGCCAAGGTCACGTCGTATTTCGTTAAGCAGATAGAATGGGTGCACGCTCCAGGCCATTCAGCACATGCTTGGAATGAGATGGCGGATATGATTGCCACTCCCGCATCGCTAGGCAAAGGAGACCTTCCTAAGCCAGACGACAGATGGAGAGAATCATTATTCGACCTGCAGGCACTACAGTGGATGTGCTCCGCTTTGAGACGCCGCAAATGCGCGCCGAGTATCCGCCATGGCAAGGTGCGCTCATGCCAGTTTTTTTTCTGGGACGCCTTCGGAAAAGGCCAAGGCACCGCAGCACCTGCTACGTTTTTCGGAAGGAGGAAGGCCGCATAACAAGGTATCAAAGGATGATGACGCTATAAAGTTATACTGGTGGGTCGCTGCTGCCAACGTTCTGTCCCTCAGCCCTTCTACTGCCAGGCCCAATCAGTAAGACCGACCAGCAGGGTTGTTCCCATAAGGTCGCAGGAAGCAGCTCAGCGCGGCGCTCAAGTAGCACAACTGTTTTGTGGTAGGTAACGATGAGACGAGGTTTCCACGCTCTGGAGTCTCCAGCGTCACACCATACCACATCATACACGCACCAGCTGATGAGTCCAATCGGTTCGGTTGCTCGCTATAGATCAAACCTATATGGATGTATTACCTTGTGTGCACCTGTATGGATGTATTACCTGGTGTGCGCAGTCTACCTAAACACTGCTGTGTACTTGCTGCTGAGCCTAGGTACTTGCTCGTTGCCATCCGCGCCGAGAAGTTTGCCCTAGACGTGCTGGTGGCCCACGCACCGCACGGCCATAAAAAAAAACAAAAGTGTTCGTCAAGTCCTGGTGGGCTGTAATCGCCAAGGCCCCGCAGGACCACAGGTCCCCTGGGGTCAAGCTCATCAGCTTCATGGACGCGAACGCCCGCATCGGGTCCACCCTGTCCAAGGTCGCGGGGCCCATCGCGGCCGAGCCGCAAAACATGCCTGGAAATCACTTCCACAGCTTCCTGGAGGAGACTGAGCAGTGGGTCCCGGCTACCTTCTTGGAGTCTGGTCAGGAATCCGCAGCCACATGGCAT